TTAATTCTAAACCTAAAAAATATATAATTAATATCTTTAAATGAAAAATTAAAAATACATTGATATATTTTTTTATAAGAAATGGAGAAAATTATATTAAATAATAAGAAAATACAAAAGAAATCTCCATCGCAAGTATATAGCCTAAAGCATTATAGCTAAAAAATAAAATCAGAAGCATAACTTACAATACTAGTACTAGATTTAAACTATACCCATAACAAATATAAACAATTAAGTAAAAGAGCCATTTGCAACTAAAGATCATGAATATAATCGTTATATGGGTTAAATAGGATTACAGATGTAGAAAAGATAGTCACTATGAGCATCAAAGCTACTGAACTTGTTCACCTATTTAACCAGTTTCGTGGAGAGAGCAAGGATTCCAACTACTGTTGTCAATTTCGTATTGTACTGGTTGGTATGGTTGGTACGCATCGATTTTTTCTTTAAACAAAAATGATTATAAGATTCAATTTCGTTTCGATCATATTTCACCTATTTCAATCAAATTTTGATGTACTGGTCAATACATCGAAAATCGGTCTACACAATTGAATTCAAATTAATTTGAACTCAATATATTGATATATTTAAAAATCAATAAAATTCACATGTTTAAATAAAAAAGTGAAAATTTTTTTACTTCTATCCACACCTTTAGCCAATGGTTTTTGATTGCAAACAACTCACGAATTGACTAAAACATTTGAATAATGCTATAACCGCATTGCGGCCGAAGCCTGGGGTACTGACATAAGGCCGAGCGGACGTCGCAATGCCACTTCCGTTTGATTTCTGGTTCTGAGAAAGGGCGTAACAAATTCAAAAGCCCTCAAGTTTATAAGACTATAACTTTTAAGTCCCTATATTTAAAAGATATCATTTAAGTCTTTAAAATCAAACAAGATTACTTTAATATAGGGCATTAGGGTTTAGTGATTGTAATATTAGGGATTATATTATATTTTTTAGGGTTCAAGGTTTAAGGTGTTAAAATTTAAATTTTTTAGGGTTTAAATTTTTTTAAATTGAATGTTTTTTATGTTAATTAGGGTTTAAATTTTTTGAGATTCAATATTTAGGAAATTAGGGTTTAGATTTTTTTTTTTTGGATTAAGTGTTTAGGGTGTTAGGATTTAGTATTTAAGGAGTTAGGATTTAAATTTGTTGAGTTCTATATTTTATGATATTAAGATTTAGATTTTTTTCAAATTTAGTGTTTAATAATTTAAAAATTAAAATGATAGGAGCAAAGAGTCAAATTTAAAATTTAAAATTTAAGAAACAAAAATTAAAAAAACTATAGGGACCAATTGGCTTGGAGATCGATCCGTCCCTATAGCATTACTCCTAGAAACTATGAGTGCAAGGATAAATTAAATTCTACGATCATGCATGTCCATGGAGAAGAACCCTTATCCTAAAAGATAAGACTATAAAATGAATATCCAGAACATAAAGAATATAAACCACAAATTGGCGATCAAACCAAAACAATCAATTAATTAATTAATGATGTAAACATCAAACAATTGTTCGATAAAGAAGTAAAAGTGGTCCAAATCATTTTTTCCACAAGTTGATTTGACACATTACCATGAAAAAGAAAAGAAATGAAAAAACATACCTACAATATTCTATAACAATTTCCTTACCCACATTCAAATAACAATCATACATACCTACGAATATAAACCAGAAACGCAAGACATAGTTAACATATGACCAATTTTTGTGCAAAATCTAGACATGACTCGTTAAGGACTTGACCCAATTTTGACTTAGACTTATGCCTAAATCCTAAGTCTAGAGTTACAAGAAAGAAAGAAAGACTCCATTGAGACATTCCATCAAATAGCTAGCGTGCAAAGGATTAACAAAACTTGTCGATAAATAATTAGATTCTTGCAAGTATATTAATGAATAACAACGCAACATGGAGGAATTAAACAGAAGTTGTATGGGCAGTTTTACAAGGAGAGTACTTTAGGGCTTTTTTGTGAAGAAAGGTTGTGTAAAATTGAAAAAAAGGGTGG